ATGGACATGGGATGAAGGATTCTGGTCCGCCACTCAGGTGAACCAGAAAACGGATTTTCCTGGTCACCCCTTCCAGCTGTTCTAGAAGTCTTGTTTCTTGTCCTCTGAACCTCTTCCAAAAAAATTTATTTTCCTTGCTTCTGTTTGTATATAATTAAAATATAGTTTTACGATTCGCGTGAGACTCGGCTGCAAGCCGAGTTTTCCGCATCCGCCGTGGGAACGCCACCACCCTCCAGGATCAAGGCGCAGATACAGCGCCTAAACGGTGGGAGCTGAATATACCAGACCCACCACCAAGTGGTCAAAGACCGAAATCCCATTAGCTGCATCCATTTTTGTATATCGATACAAAAGTTCTCCTTATCTTTTCTTCCTCTCTCTATGCCAACATTTTTGCGTCGGTTACCTACTAACACTATTTTCTTGATTATAACACTGAGTTTCCAGGCATACTTCATCTGCATTGTAGTGACAGAGAACTGAAGAGGAGTCGAACCAGTTTATTTGTTGGCAAAAAGGCTTTTCCGATTGCTCTGGTCTGAGAATGCTCTGTCTTGCTGAGTATGACGCACTTTGTCAACGGATAAGGGCTTCAACAGTAGAGAAATATTAGAATCTCTCCTTTATTCACTCCTTTCGAAGACGATAAGCCAGATACGGGAAGATTATTCAATGGGCGGGACACACAAAAGAATGCGAAAATAATAAAGCTAGAAAACAAAAGGACAAGAAATAGGGAAAGGAGGATGAAGAAAGGAAAGAACCTCAATCAAAACTCCAATATTGCGTCTTTCCCTCCAACCATTGAATAAAACTCCAATATCAAAACAATAATAAAGCATTTGCAGCAACAAGCATTCTACAAGTGATAAGGACGTTGAGACGGGTCAAAGCTCGAAACTTGCTGATCCGAACGTTGTTATGGGGATTATCATTACATTGGGATTCGGAATGGGTGTAACAGTGTATACCTTAGGTTTCTACATTGTAGAGTCCGCTATGAAGTAGCACAAGGAACAGAATATGGCGCTATGACTTTAGTATGGCCCAGGGTCAGCTGGAGAGCCGGGTCAGCCGGGTCACGCGCCTGGCTGGGGAACTGCACGACCTGGCTGAACAGATAACACCGGGTCTAGTCTGACCCAGCTGAAAATTTGGGACCTTTCGCATTTGCTACGAAACGAATGCGAAACGAAAGTTTGATTCGGCTCGTAATCGTTTCGTTGAAAACAGATTTCAGGTTTCGCAAGTCGTCACGCAAATGTGCATGGCAACTACGAATACGGCCGCGGGCGCCGGTAGCTTGGCGTACGGGTTTTTACACGCACACGTGCATGGATCATGGAATCAAGGGAAAAATGTGTACCTTGCAAAACATGTGTACCTATCCAAATAAATGTGTACCTGACGGATTCGGAGTGTGCCACGAATGTAGAGGCTTCCATTCGTGAAAACGAGTTCTCCGCAAGGACTCTGACGTACTAGGGACCTTTCGCACCGCGCGTACGGATAAGAAACGAATGCTGATTCGTCACCTGGGTTCGAGGATTCGTCAGAGTCGCCACGGAGAGCTCGTTTTCACGAATGAAAGCCTCTTCATTCGTGGCACGCTCCGAATCCGTCAGGTACACATTTTTTTTGCAAGGTACACATGTTTTCCTAGGTACACATTTTTCCCTTGATTCCATGATACATGCACGTGTGCGCGAACACACCCGTACGCCAAGCTACCGGCTGTATTCGTAGTTGCCATGCAGATTTGCATTACGACTTGCGAAACCTGAATTCTGTTTTCAACGAAACGATTACGAGCCGAATCAAACTTTCGTTTCGCATTCGATTCGTAGCAACGGAGCACGTAACAGAAACGCGTACGTGGGTGATCCACGTAAAGTGGATGAAGGGTACCCACGTTGCAATGTTGTGTTTAGTCACACGGAACAAACAAAAGCATAAAGCGAAAGGCCCAAACCTGGTCAAAGACGAAGCTACGCGGGCCTAAGAAGCTCATCCAATATTTTGATTTCATGCTTCGGAAACGTCTTCAGCTGACTACCCTCACAGCTCGCACAATGCGCTCCATTCTGATTTTCACCCACGTTTTGGTGGAACGTGGGTGAGCCTCCATACACGGTAAGTCGTGAATCAGAAAACGTCTGGACGTGGGTCACTGAGTATCACGTGGTACACACACGTAAAGTACCCACGGACAAAGGTAGCTAGTTATTCAGGCGAGTAGGGAGCCGGAGACACCATGGGCACGAAGTTTGGCGATCAGGCCCTTGTGCCACACGGTGTCGAAGGCCTTGGAGAGGTCGAAGAAACAGATGCAGGAGACCTGCCACTGGTCTTTTAGGGAGCAGAGGTCTTGGATTATGCGGGACAATTGCAGGGATGTGTTGTCCTTACGACGGAAGCCAGATTGTGCGGGGTGAAGAAGAGGGGAGATATACAAGCGGTCGTACACTATTCTCTCTAGCAGTTAGGAGACGCAGGACAGGAGGGAGATTGGTCGGTAATTAGACGGGTTGTTCTTGTCGCCTTTATTTTTGTACACTCGAGTGACAGTGGCTGACTTCCATCGTGACGGGAATGTGCCGGAGGAGAGGGAAAGGTTAAAAAGAATGGAGAGTGGGCGGGCAATTGAGTAGCTCAGTTTCCTGAGGATCTCATTGGTGATTTTATCAGCTCCGGGGGGATTTGTTCAGAGGCAGTCTTGCAATATACTTGTGAACAGTCGATGAGGTGATGATCAGTGAGTGCAATGTAGTTGCTGGTGGAGGTAGGGAGGAAATAGTAGGAATAGGAGCATCGGGGTCAACCTGTAAGCCAGCACTGACGAAGTGGCGGTTCAATAAGTTACCAATGGATGCCGGAGAGGTGCTTGTTCGACCATTGGAGCCCACCATCTTCGAAGGTATGACCAGGGCGCTGGTAGGATTTCGCAGTTGACGAATGAGCACAGGGAGGGATGGGAGGCGAGGGTTTGTGGGAGATATCGTGGCACGGAGGTTGCGGATGTAGCAGCGATGGCAGGATCTGGAAAGACATTTTACATAGTTACGTTGGTGTTTGCATTTGTTGAAATTTGTAGGGGATGGGTATTTCCGGTAGATGCTGTAGAGATCGCTTTTGACTTTAATAGTTGCTTTCAGTGATGGAGTCATCCAGGGGCAGGGTTTGTGGCGTGATTTCCGACGAGGAGGTGAGGATCTTCCTATATATAGGTCCAAGGCACCTTCAAGGATGTCAGTGGATGCGGAGATAGCCGTGTCGATGCAGTGGGAGGCAAGGACCTGAGACCAGGGTACATCTGCGAGAAAAACATTCATGGCATTCCACATGTTATCCGTGGCACTCAGGACATTGTATTTTTATGTAGATCGTGGGCTACGACAGGTGCTGGCTGCTGTGGGGAAAGACGTTGAGGAGGAGAACTCAGCCAGCAGGACGGCATGGTCTGATGCGCCAAGAGGAGCCAGGTGTTGGATGTGGTTGAGTTGGTTAGGGATGTTGCTCGCGATAAGGTCTAGACAGTTGCCAAGTCCATTCGAGCAGAGGCGGGTGGGAAAGGTTACCGATTGGGTCAAATTATAGCATGAGAAGAGGTTGTCAAGACTCAGACCCTGTGCATCCGTTTGGTCAGTTGAGCACCAGCCGGAATACCTACAGTTGAAGTCGCCTGATATCACAAGGGCTTCGGGCTTCCTTTGAGTTGATTGTAGGGCTATTTGGAGGCGGTCGAGAAAAGTCGAGAAATCATCCGTCGACGTGGAAGGAGCGCGGTAGATACAGGCTACTGTTAGGTGGGTTGTTGGCAGGTCAGAAGGTGAGACAGGCTTATGTTCAGCGAGTGTAAGCCGAAGTGCTAGCGGTTCCAAGCCCGGTTGCTGAAAATCCGGTAGCTGATCAATGGAAGTACACAGACCTTCACGAACTAAGATTAGAACTCCTCCGTACCCCCTGTGTGGGTCACGGTTCTGTCTATTTTCTAAAATAGGTCGGTCCCGACGGAAGCATTCATAGTGTGGCACGTGGAAAGCTTGTGTGGGAGTTAGCCAGGTCTCTGTGATGCATACTACGCTGGGTGTGTGATCCTCACAGATTTGAATGAGTTCGCCAGACTTGTTCGCTATGGAGCGAGCATTCAGGACACAGATTGTAAGTCGGTGAGTAGCAGCATGTACGGAATGGGGGAAGAAAGGTGGGGCAAGAGCGTTGAGAGGCGCAGGGGTTGAAGTGGAAGAGGAGGGGAAAGGTTACGCATTGGAAGCTGGCTTCGTCACTTTGGGGCTGTCCGCAAAACGCCACTTGCGTACTGAGTGGCTGATGGCTTCGGGCCAGAAGGCTCTGTCTGGTACACGCTCTTCATGTTCTGCAGCCACAGTGACTCTGGCATACGATGTGCCAAGGTATTTCGACTCCATGACGGAGCAATTTAATACCTCCACGTCCCTCGCTTCGCACCAGTCTCTGATTGAGTGAGCGTTGCAACCGCTGTTGATGCTTCCAACGTAGAGCACAAGTTTGTTGATGGGCACCACCCCTGTCAGGACGCACGGATCAGCAGGTTCGGTGTTAGGTGATTCCTTTACGTACCTAGAGGTTATAGTAGCCCGCAGAGCTTTGGATATGCTGTCCGTGATTTTGTCCTGCCGTCCTTTTCGTCTATGGTTCACCTCTTTCCACGTGTTCTGTGTCGGCTCTGCACTACATTGTAGCAATAAAAACTGCTTTATGGCAGTTTTCTAAAAACAGTTATTGTGTTCTAGTCCATGGACCCCGTCTAAAAAGTAAGAAATTAACGAAATGTGATAGCCGAAAATTAAAATTTCACACAAAACCTCACAATAATCACAACACTTGAAATGCTGCTTTCAACACTAAACTTGTACTGCGCCAACAATTGGCAACATGCATGCATAGGAAAGAGGATCACGAGGAGAAAAGGTCTTCTACGGTACATGTAGCTTTTCATTCTGTGTGTGATTATTTTGAGGTTTTGTGTGAAATTTTAATTTTCGGCTATCACATTTCGTTAATTTCTTACTTTTTAGACGGGGTCCATGAACTAGAACACAATAACGTTTTTTAGAACGAGGTCTGTCTCGTTGTCCAGAAAACGACCAATCAGCGACATTCCCGCCAAGGGCCTTATCAGAGTTTAAAGCCCGCTCAATCGTTATTTTACTACTCTTGATGACGCGTCGAGGGCCAAAACTGCAATAAAGCAGTTTTTATTGCTATAATTTCTTTTGTTTTTTCTGTCACCAATCTATGGAATGCCCTATATCAAGAGTGCATAAACATTGACTCTTGCCTATATCAATACCGTATTATACGCATGATGTGCAAGCCTTTTCTTGCAGAAAATGGCACTAGCATAATGCATGTTCTTCGGCGGGGAAACATGTGAGTCGTGGTCTGGTGGTGGTGATGCTTTTTTTTATACGGAGGTCATTCTGTGCATGTTCATG